TGCAACCGACTGGGAGAGACAAGAGGTTAGAGGACCTGCAGTGTTGAGGTCAGATAGTGAAAGGACGACCGGACGAGAGGCTTGTCTGACTGGGAGATGGGTCAGGATGAGCCCGGCTACAAGCGTAAGCGGGCAAAGAGCGAGAGAGCGAGAGAGAGCAGGGCAGGAGGGCGCAGTGGGACGAGACCTTCCCAAATGGGCTCAAGTGAATGCTGAGTAGGGCTGGTTGTAACAGGTGAAACAAATGGGGATCAGAAGAGCGAATCACCTCAGAGAGAATGGATTCAGCAAATTGCTTGGATAAAACAAGATTGAAGAGAGTGAAAAAAACAGGATTTAGGAGGATAATGAAGAAATACGCAGAACCAAGTAGGGCGGGAAAGAGGGCGAGCAGGATAGAAAAGCACACAACAAGGTCACCATAATGCGCACGTTGGTGCGGACGCTGAGGAAGAGAAAAGCCATTGTAGTAACTGCGGCAGATAGAGGGACGACTTCGGACAGGCGATGAGGCTGGTTGTCACCGTGACAACCAGCAATGGGGGAACCGGGTGAGACAGAACAGAGGAACTCGTAGTCATACTTTAGCTCACATTGGGTAGGTATATATTTATGCGTATACAGCCTCATGGACAGAGACGTGGGCTCATGCAGCAGGGTTACTGAGCAAGGCTAGCAGATGAATGTATTAGTAAATTAGAAACTGAATGGATAAAATGCTGTTCAAGAGGATGGATTGGTTGATGGATGGCTGGATAGGCGAGCAGGTTTCGATTTTGATGACACAGGAAATGATGAATGAGCCGAAGGATTGATAGGTGGACAGAAAAGAGAAGATATCAAATTTGGATATGACTATAACTGGAAAGGTAACTTTCAGAAAATCATGGCCGTATTGTTGTTGGGACCATCAATACTGGCCTTAAAATGAAAAGACTGTAGATAACATGACCAAGATGTCTGCCGCTGAGGTAGACGCGTTCGTGCGCACCGCAAGGGTAATCAGAATAAACAGCCGCTGAGTTAATGGCTGTTTGGCATGGAAGGAAAAAGCTGGAATTGTGAGAAAGCCCAGTCAGCAGGAGTTGTAAAAGACTTACTACTGGGATAGGCATATGTCAGAATACATAGTTTTTATGTTGAAATGTGGAGTCATAGAAGTAAGGTTCAGATTGCCAATAAAATGGAAATTTGTGCTTAAAAGAAAATGCCTGATACCATAAGAAATATAAGAGCAAATAAAGAGTTAAATATTAATAAAAGCTACCTAAGTGAGCATATGATGAGAGAAGTAGGAAGAGAGAGAGGGAACTTTTCTGACATGTCGGTAATTATTGTTGAGGCTTAATGGTTTTTACCAGTACATTAATGGACTGATAACAGTCTGTCGACGATGCATTTAAAATAAAACTTGATTTTGCAATTATTTTTACTTTTCCATGAGTCTCGACAGACCGTTCTTGTCGAGATTGGACCACAGTTTAATCCTTGTTTCGTTATTTCATCCCCTCCCAAGCGGGATTTTAACCCCAGATGTGAGAATTAAGATGAAACCATGGTAATCACCGAACCGAAATTTGGCAGATTCTCTATCACTAGACATGGAAAACAGCAAAAGATGGCATGCTTTGCAAAAAGGCAGCCTCCTTGAATCCCTTATAAAAGCTATTGCATACTATATCAGTAGAGCGTCAAGTTTACTGACAAACACACAAAGCCTTTAGAAACAAATAAATGATGCAAAAATCAAGTAATTACCCTAATTAATTTTAAACAGGTTCTAAAAAAATTCGATAAGAAACTATTTGAAACTGGTAGATCTATGAAAAAATTGTCAGAATGGCAGTTTCGAAACAAGAAAAATGCTATTAACAATAAAGTTAATAAGAATGCTAGTTTAGCAGGCTTAGTATTAAAGTTGAGGTCATGTCAAAAATATTTAAATTAGGTAGGTAATGAATGGGAATTGAAGCGTGTGGGTAAGTAGACGGTTAATAGGAAAATAAGCATGAATTTAGGTTGAGAGATTGTTGGCAGTTAGATACTGAAATAGCAGGAGTATGTAACTAGGCGGGTTGCATCTGAGCTCCTATATGAGCTCAACAAATTCACAATTGAGCCAGGTAAGAGTATTATTGGAATTCACCAAGGAAGCTGGAGGTAGATATGCAAATAGCTAGGTAGATGAGATTTATTCACCCTATTTCGTTTAAGGTGATGAAGGACTGGTAGTAGAATTTTCCCAAAATGATATGAATAAAGCAGCTGTTTCCATTGAATTTCACATAGCCTAGCTTCCTCAAAAGTTGTTCTCATCCAGGGTGGACTGCAGTTTCGACCTCGCATAGGTCTTATCAACACTCCCAGCAGGAGTGGAATCGTGACAGTGCAGAATGTGAGCTTGACACGTTAACCAATCGGCAACATTGCACGAGTGTCCTTGGGCCACAGGGCAGATGTCAATTTCAAAGACGGCCAAGCCCTTTCCTATATCACATTCTTTGGTGGGATTTTCGATGAAGCAAACGTATTTGTGCTATTTTTCGTAGACAAGTAGAGTTTCAAGACTATCAGTAAATCGGTTATATGAGATGGATTTACCCTACTTCGTTTAGGGTGATGAAGGATTGATAGTAGAATTTTCTCACAATGATATGAGTAGAATTGACGTGTCCACTAGCCTCGATTTCCCAAAGGAAATAGGGTGAATATATCTCATATTACTGATTTACTGGTAATCTCGAAACTCTACTTATATAGGAAAAATAAATAACGTAGTCGATTGGCATAGCAAAAATACGCTTGCTTCATCGACAATTCCACCAAAGAATGTGATATGGGCTTGGACGTCTTTGAAATTGACATCTGCCCTGTAACCCAAGGGCACTCGTAGCAATGTGGCCGAGTGGTTAAGGCTTAAAGCTCACATTCTGCATTGTCACGGTTCAAATCCCGCTGGGGGTGTCGATAAGATCTATGCGAGGTCGAAACTGTAGTCGACCCTGGATGAAGACAACTTTCGGGAAAGCAAGGCTTTGTGAAATTTAATGGAAAATCCAGCTCTACTCATATTATTTTGGGAAAATATATCACCTTAAACGAAATAGGGTGAATACATATCATATAACTTATTTACTGGTAGTCTCGTAACGCTACTTATATACGAAAAAGTTAGATAGATATTTTGGTGGACAGATAAGTATGCAGGTAGAGTGATAACAGGGCAAGTGCGTGGTATTTAGTAAAGATTGAGTGATCTATGGACAAGTAGATGGGCAGGTTAGGAGGGCGATAGTAAGGAGAGAGCTTTTTAGTTTTTGTTGAAGGCAAATTTAATTATGACAATCAGCGTGTTTGATATTAATCCATTCTCCTTGCTAAATGATCCCAATAATCCATGTTGCATATCTGTGGTTTTAGGTTTTAGGAATGCTCTATAAATATGTGTATTCTCATATTGCCATATTCCGAGTAGTTGATGCTTCAAAATAAATACACCATCCGGACAATTGGAAGTGGCTAAGCAATGTTTCACAATGAATCTAAAATAGGACCAAACCTAGTTTTAATATAATTCTGTACAAAAATAACTTGCACCTTCAAATGACAAGAACATTTCAGTGTATGTAACTCCATCTCAAAGACGATTTATACGCTTGAGAGTGGAGCTTTCGATGCGCATAACGATTGTGTATTTCATTTATTACTTTATAAATTGAGTGTAGTAATTGCAAACTTGCATTTACTAATTTATTTTACCTGTTCCTTTAAGATCTGGGGAGCAATTTGCTCCAAATGGTGACTGGTAAGAATGTATAAAACTTCCAGTTTTGCAGCAGAAAATGTGGCCAAGTCATCGGTAAGCAGAACAAATGCTCAGTGTATGTACAAGACCCATATGTTTAAATATGACGAGGAAGTTATTCTACTGTAATATAGCAAAAAGAGCGCGTCAGTTTAGGATGTAATTCCCTTTTAAGTAAAAGTTTTGCCATAACCTAGCCATCGGTGTTCTGGAAAATGAACTGACAACAAATTTGAAACAGGATGTATACAGCTCTGTTAATAATGGTATCGTCAAAGGCCGAGGCATCACTAAACAAGTTATCATTGGCCATCCAATTCGAAATACAAATTTTTTCCCATTCAAACTGACTATGGAAAAACAGAGCCTGCAAACCATGGTTTTATTTGTGAGTTGCTAACTGATAGAAGGCAGAGCAAATATTCATCAGGATGCATTGAACTTAGCCGTGAGGTGAAATAATGTTAATAGAAAATTTGCTAAGTCAAAATATGCGAAGACCATGACGATGTGGCATTATATTTGGCCGCAGTTTCCTTTAGCTTCATAGTGTTGGTTCGACCTTGTCTTAGGTAAATTCCTACGGAAATGTACCAAGTAAATGCTCGGAAGCTGGAGATCAGTAATACTATGACAGAAGACACAGGACTAGGTATGTTCCACAGGGTTTCCCTGACGCTGCAACCAAGCTGCGAAAACAAGGTCGAATCAACACCATTACTAACCCTAAGTTGCTTGAGGTGATTCAAGAAAAGAAAGTGGAGTTTTCCCAATCTAGTATGAATGGGCTTCATTAAATTGCCACAGAATTTCAATAAGCCTTGTCCCACAGAATTCGTTCTTCAGAATGAACCGAAGTGTTGACCTTGCCTAGGACTCATCAGCTCCTTCAACGGGATTAGAAAACAGGTTGTTAGCATTAGGGTGTCACGCTACCATTCATAATCTCACTTATAAGAGACTAACGAAAAAGAAAACTTGTGTTTGTCTTCACAATCAACGATGATACAAAACTTCAACGAAAATAGTTACCGAGGTAATCAGTAATTCTTGAATAAGAATTTAATTGTCCTGGGTCACTTAAATACTGATACTGTAGAGTTTACCATTAGAAATGTGATATGAATCAGCTCTGACTTGCCTTTAAAATCATATCTATCTTGTGACCCACTTGAATTCACTGCTATGTGGTGTGCCACTTGCTATGCATGCATACATTTTGAGTCCCATTGGGGGGCTGGTGAGGCCCAGGCGAGGTGGAAAGCCTTATTTGAGTCAGAAATAAACTATTATTCCGTCTCGAAACTCTACTTAAATACGAAAAATAAGTAACGTAATCGATTGTTATAGCAAATATACGTTTGTTGGGATTACTTCCATTTCGAGTAGAAGTGTTGGGTGAAGAGATTCGAAGGTCGGTTCCAC